CTGCATTCGAATAAAATTTAAAACCATCTAACGTTTATTTTTTATCAATGTAAAAAGTCTTCAACCATTCGTCAGCCTACAGTTTATAATAGGCTATTCATACATAATGCATTTCATCCCATATAGTATAATGAAAATACAATTTAAGTTAGTTTCAAATTGCTTACCGGAATCGATAATCGCACACGTGTGACATACTCGATACAGCTAAGAGATTTCTGTTCAAAGAAATCCGTTTTCATTCACACCGTAACGTAACTTACTCCCCGACAACCGGACCCGCCAATCGAACAGCCCCCGGACACGGTGTTAATGTGATAGTTCGGAATCTAGAAACACAGATAAACCATTCGTATAAGTTGACAGCGGATTATTAAATCTGCGGCATTCCGGATGTTTCCTTGTCTTATCCTCTGAAATTGGATGCAAATTACGTATTTTTTTTACATTTGAAAACATGTAAATTGCGTGTTGAGGCTCTGCTTCGAATCAAGGGATTGTGACCGAGCTGGTTTCTCAATACGCGCCGCTTAGGAATTCTTTTATTATAGAAATTCGTAATTGTGCCTCTACCGCTTGCTCGATGGTAAATTATTATAATTATATGTCATATTTTTTAAAACGTTCGTTTTTTATATTTAGCACGCGCAAACTGTTCTATTTAATACTTTAAAGTGGTTAACACTTTGAGTTTTGTATAGGATTTTAATAGTAAAGTCTACTTAAATTAATCTTAGTCGAAGTCGTCCTGGCCTTAACGATAAGACCTCTGGTTGTGTACGATCGTTACGACTGTGCCCGCATTCAAATCCTACAGACAAATTCGGATTTTCGTTTAAGAATTACGTACTTAATTAATGTTATGTGATGGCTTCCGCGATGAACTGATAGTATCGCATAATAAAAATGAAACCCACAAAAAAAACATTGCCAAAAGAAGTTATCACTTCAAAGACAGCCCATGAGTTTCTAGCCGGATCTTCTCATTGGTTCGCGTTCCCGATTCGGTGGTAGATTCTGCGAAGCCCTTGCTAAGGTTAGTGTTAGCAACGTCGTCAGGTTTGAGCTCCGTGAGCTCAGCTACTTGTTACGTTACGCTGACATTATCCCTTAAGGCTACCTAGTTTAGGTAGGAAAAAAAGAAAAAAAACTTAAAAGAGAATCATTCTTAATTTATATACAATTGTGACGAAATTCAGGCTGCGACATCCTTGGACTTCGTTAACCACTAAACACTAGGTGGGCCATGAGCTCGTTCACCGTCCTACCGCAATTAAAAAAAAAAACTTCAAATTTACATTACCGATGCGGTGTGAGTGGAAGGCGTCTGTAGATGAATGCATTACTACAAAGACTGGCCGGTGGCAAGGTTTATGTGACGGTTCTAACAACTAATACAGTGCCTACTCTATTTCGATTTCATTACTGAATTTGAATCGAGTGAGATTCAATTGTATTATATTCATGTTTCCTTAACAGTTCCTTTATTTGTTTCGTATTTATACTAGATAGATATTCATTTAATTTTATTGTATTGTATAAATGCGTAGGCGAACTAATGTTAACAATAGCCCTATCAAGAGAAGTGCTTCACAGAATCTACCACCGTATCGGAATCACGACCCACTGAGAAGATCCGGCGAGAAACTCAGTGGGCTGTGTCTATAGGTTAGTCCGCTGAACGGTTTTCGGTGCTTTTTTTTTCCTACCTAAGCTGATAGCCTTGAGAGGCTATTTCAGCGTAACCTTAACTAGTAGGTCAGCTCACGAGACTCAAACTTGACAACGCTGCTAACACAAACGTGCTTCGCAGAATGTACCGCCGGATCGGAACTGCTTTTTCTTGGGGCAGTGTTAGCAACACTCCCGGTTTGAGTCCCGAGAGCTCACCTACACGTCAAGGAGAATCTGAAATAGCCTCTCAAGGCTATCAGCATAGGTAGGAAAAAAAAAACTGTTTTAGGAACGACCACTTTCCTAACGTCTACCCTACTTTGGAGCAGTAGACTTGGGATTGACAAAGCAGGCCAGGAATTGGTTAAGAGCTAAGTTAGAAAGTAAACGAAACGATGTATGTGTTTTTTTTAATTGCTTAGATGGATGAACGAGCTCACAGCCCACCCGGAGCCCATAGACATCTACAACGTAAATGCGCCCACCCACCTTGAGTTATAAGTTCTTAGGTCTAAAGTATAGTCACAACGGCTGCCCCACCCTTCAAACCGAAACGCATTACTGCTTCACGGCAGAAATAGACAGGGTGGTGGTACCTACCAGCGCGGACTCACAAGAGGTCCTACCACCAGTAATAAATATGTATGTGTTGTGTCAAATACATGGTAGTGTGTGTAATGTTTTTATTATTATTGATTTAACGTATTCTTTATGCATAATTAAAAAAAAATATTAGCATCCTGCATTCCTTCTCTATATTCTCTAAAAGTGGGGGAAATTTCATAGTCCTCCGTCCGCGCAATTTTCGTAAAAAGGGGTACAAAGTTTTTGCTTCACGTATTAATATTTAAATTGAATTACGCGAATGATTCTCTGAGTTCGACCCGCGCCCACAACAGGTTTGCAACATTGTAGCGTTCGATTGTTTTATACGTTTTTTATTCGTGCAGAACCGCGAGCCGGTCCGGTGCGATCGGGTCGATTCGTATTGGCCTCGTGACCGACTTTACGATATTTTAACCTATATGCAATATCTTTCTTTCTGATTTATTATCGAGATATGAGATTCGTGTGTTGTTATGTATGTGCGATGCGTGCGGAGAAAATAATAAAAATAAAATCCTTTTATCTGTATAAATGCCATTTATTATTGGTGGTAGGACCTCTTGTGAGTCCGCACGGGTAGGTACCACCACCCCGCCTATTTCTGCTGTGAAGCAGTAATGTGTTTCGGTTTGAAAGGTGGGGCAGAAACTTATATTACAAGGTGGGCGGCGCTTTTACATTGTAAATGTCTATGGGCTCCAGTAACCACTTAACACCAAGTGGGCTGTGAGCTCGTCCACCCATCTAAGCAATAAAAAAAATTAAAAATAAAACTAAACTTAGTTGACTATATTTAATTTTGAATAGGCAATGGCTGTTCCAATGTTCAAATTAGAACCCATTCGTGCCCTATACACGTAAAATTTGTTGTTTCGAATGATTTGAAAAATGTAATATCTAAATTAAAAACACCAATTCACTTCAGCGAGAGTGCAGAAACTTAGACAACAGAGCAAAAACGTTTAGATGTGTTGGTGCGTTCACACACGCTAAGTCCGGTCACAAGTCTTGCTTAGCGACAACATCGATAATTATCAATAAACTTTAAACAAAAGATTAAAACTTTTAACGAAGAAAAGCAGATTATTTATTCGGGAAACAACGTGATTATCAAAAAGCTTGCGACACACGCCCATTTTCGGTCACGATATTATATTTTCTGTATATATATATTTATTGTATTGTGTATATGGGTGAATAGGCACTTGTCTCACTCACCTGGTGGTTGTTGGACACCACTAGTGGATAGGCTGTAGGCTTGTAGGCAGCGGCTTGGCTCTGCCCCTGGCATTGCTGAAGTCCATGGGCGACGGTAACCACTCACCATCAGGTGGGCCGTATGCCCGTCTGCCTACAAAGGCAATAAAAAAATAAAAAATAAACCTTCAGAGGTGAGACCGAAGTCTCAACTGTATAGAACAACACTTGCCCCACCAGTCAAACCGGAATGCATGACTTCGCGGCAGAAAACTGGTACCGTGTGATCAATAATGCGCCTCAACTTCCATTGAATCCCTTATCGTTTTCTTCACCCTCTGAAATAGGGTACTATTCTACACGACACAGACTTACCATACCATAATACGCGTCGAAATTAAGCCATTAATGCTCTCGAAGGCCCTATTTTAAAGTGTTTTACGTCGATAATATATAGGTCACATACGGAAATTTCATTTGGGTTCATATATATATATGTATAAAGCAAAATAACGTTGTATTTGAGATCCGTGGTGATAGAGAGGAGCTGGTGGATATATATCTTAACTCTTGCTTCTTCTTCTAAATCAGCCAAAATTTCTCATACAGCCCGTTAACAATATTATTATATTTAGGCTTCAAGTGAGCAGAACTCATAGATATTAGCGCAACATAAAAACTATGCTAGAAAACCCACTTACATTCCGATATCTGTAACATATTTACATAAATCTATACTAATATATAAATCTACAGTGGTTTTTTTTTATTGCCTTTGTAGGCAGACGGGCATACGGCCCACCTGATGGTGAGTGGTTACCGTCAGCAATGCCAGGGGCAGAGCCAAGCCGCTGCCTATCGCTTAATACTCTCCACAAGCCTCGTTTGAAGAAGGACATGTCATGGCGCTCGGGAAACACCGTGGAGGGGAGCTCATTCCATAGCCGGATGGTACGTGGCAAAAAAGACCTCTGGAAACGCACTGTGGATGACCGCAGCGGCTCCAGGTATTATGGATGAACTCTACTCCGGTGGCGGGCGGTGCGATGGTAAAAACGATATGCCGGTATCATCTCGAACAATTCCTCAGAGCACTCCCAGGTTTTTACGGATGTTCCGTTATAACTACTGAATCATGCATCCGATTGACTTGAAACTTGGTATCCACGTAGAAAATACATGTACTTAATGGATAGGCTAATATTTATATTGTTGTTGGACTCCCTAATAATAACGACAATAAATAATAATGTTAATTTTAAATGCGCAGCGAAGCAGGCGAATACGGCTAGTTCGTTCTAAAATTAAATAGGGTTAGGGTTTTAAAAATTTAGCTTTTTTTTTTTTATTGCCTTTGTAGGCAGACGAGCATACGGCCCACCCGACGGTAAGTGGTCACCGTCGCTCAAGGACGTCAGCAATGCCAGGGGCAGAGCCAAGCCGCTGCCTAGGGCTTAGCTCGTATAGGGTTATTTCATCTTGAGCTTTTAAAAACATATTGATATATATTTTTTTAATTTCAGACGGCGCATGACCCCACCGATTCCCCGTCAACTTCGACGGGGCACAGCGCCGACAAGTAAGGCGTCGGCCGTCGCGTGGGCTCAGTGATCACCAGACTTTATACATTAGTGTTTTAACATTACGTTCGCAAACGGAACATTCGAGAACGGATCACGAATATCTACAGACAATATGTTTTTTTTTTTAAGTTTCATCACCTACGTTTACAAAATATGTTTATTATATGTAATAGGGATGTGGAACGTGTTAAATGTTGTTTTTTACATATAATGTCTTTTTTTTTTTGTTTTTTTTTTATATATTTAAAAACAGCAAACGTGTTTTGTAAAACAAATCATTTATTGTTTTCGTAAGACCACCACGGACGGCGTGTGTCTTGAATGTTCTCGAAAACGGACAAATATTTATGACTAAATATTTTTGAAGTCTTCACGCCGTAAACCGACATACCAGTAACCCAGTGACTAATCAATATTCTAATACTACTTACGTAACTGCGATTATTACATTTGAGGGAAGTGATAAAAAGAAGAAAAAAAAAATGTTTTAAAATAGTATTATAACATTCACTTTTTTGGATGTCTAGACACAATGACATCGAATAAATTAAAAACGACTCGTTTATCGACAACAACAGGTATGTATCAAGTAAATAAAATTGATATTCCAAAAATTATGATATTGTATAATAAAACTTTTGATAAGGAACAACAATATATTTTTTTGCCAACTCTACACTGAGTATCATTGGAGCGATCTTAATGAAAATTACTACTATTTTAAAGCACAATTATAAATGAAATTACTGGTAGATCTGTTAAACAAAACATTCTTAGTATGTTTATCTATCTATGCTCATATCACATGTGCTGCCATCTACATAAAATATACAGAACCATTATGATTAATTTTGTGAGTGTTACCGGGGTGAAAAGCTATTTAGTTGAAGCGAAAATTTTGCAACTTTACAGGAAAGCCATTTAAAGTTAAAAAATTTGGAAAAAAAATCAAAAACAAAAAGAAACTTCTTCAGCTATTCGAATATAGTAAACTTAATTGAAGTTCAATTAAAAACATCGAACTGTTGATGCTGATACCAAATAAAACGCGCCTTTAATTAATTGAATATGCAATTTCAAAAATGGGAACATCTCTGAAAATGAAAAAAAAAACTGATTATTTTCAAAAGCAGTGTAAAATTTAAAATTATAACTTTTGAGATATATTTTTGTGTTAATTAGCAATTAAAGAAAATTACTGGAATCATTATAAAATTGGTGTAGGTAAGCCTCAATACTACATGTATATGAAAGAACATATTTGACAAGATATGCGACATGTGCCCTTTTCGAAATTGCATATTCAATTACAAAGATAAATGTCGCTTAAACCAAATGGCTTTTCAGCCCTTGTTAAAGTTAATTGATACTTCTTACTTATAATCTCACGAGTTTCCAAAACTTAGAAAACATTAAATACATACATTTCAATACCTAACCATTAACATTTATTTTCCATAATCTGAATAGATAGTTTTCTATTTACTATACAAAAATTAAAGTATACATACCTAAATTAGATCACAAAACCATATTTAGTTAACACGCAAAAGAATTTATTTATTTATACAATCCAGTGGGTACGTCATCAAAAATCATTTTAATCATATCTCGATCTATTTATAATACAATGTCTTGAGAGCTTCAGTTCATGATTTTCTTTAAAAAAAAACACAATGTCTGCGCTAAAAACAATTGCTTAAGGATATTATTAACTGGCGTATTTACAAACATAAACCATTCGAGTAATCCCTGTCCTGGTGAAACTGGAAAGGCCTCCGGGCCACCAGTAATCCTTCAATCATAAACAAAAAAAAATCGAGTAACAGAAAAAGATATTATATTATATAATATGTTCAATAAAAAATATATCATTGGATTACAAAAATGATACAGTACTTCAGAATTCAAACTCGCGGCTGATCCTCAAGTCATCGGGAAAATTTTTATAAATGTCTAGCTGTACCCGTCCGCTTCGTTGGGCATTTAAAATTAACATTGTTATTTCTCACCCCCACAAAGATTATCATTAACGCCCCCGCAACTGGTGTAAAGAGTCCAACACTGATATAAATATTAGTCTATCCATTAAGTACATGTATTTTCTACATGGATACCAAGTTTCAAGTCAATCGGATGCATGGTACAGTAGTTATAACGGAACATCCGTAAAGACCACTGTAGATTTATATATTAGTATAGATGTTTCTGGAACTAATAAAGATGACAGCAGACTATGTTAGACATTAACTATAAAAATACTTGAGGACATTCTCAATGAAGCTGTACACGCGGGCGTGACGGGCGGAGATAGCGTGCTGCTGTCCATGGTCTACATGCATAATAATATCATTGAAGTCTATAAAAATATTTTAGAGACATGATAAATTAAAATATAAGAAGTGTCTGTTTAAATATTTTTATTGTTATTTCAAATAAGTCGCATTGGCCTAAAGGATACAACGCCTGGTTTATTGAGCAATGCGACTGTGCCGATGTTCGAATCCCGCAGGCGGGTACTAATTTTTCCAATGAAATACGAACTTAACACATCCTCACGGATGACTTCCACTATGAAGGAATGACATCGTGTAATTAAAACTCTTATAAAATCTAATTTATTTTATTGCTATACAATTCGACACTCACGTCGCGGTATTTATTAACTTCGGTTATCACTTAAAATTATATGAGATGTGAGCTTTTTTACCCGATTATTAAATAAAAAATAAAACTAACATTTACATGCTATTTATTTTATTTATTTATTTATACTTTATGCACAAAACAAAACTTGTACACAGGCGGACTTAAGTAATAATATATAAATACACATGATATATATATAATAATAATAATAAAAATAATTGAAAAATAAAATAAATTAGTTACACCGAAAGTATCCTTAATTGAAAAGTTTTCCATAATCGGAAATGAAGCTCCCAGGACAATATTATTAAGGTTCTCGCGTCCCGGAATTAGGTACAGATACACCAGAACTCCCGCCTATGCTAAATTGTCAAATTCATTCCATGCTCTAGTTTATTCGGCTCAAACGAAGAAAGTGATAAATTTAATATGAAATTATGATCTCGACGTTAATTTGAATCTATTGGTCTTAATTAATTCGTGTTTTAAGAACTGATCAATTTAATATAAAAATTAAAAGGTTTGATATTTAAATTAAACATGTAAAATATTTCTCATCTTAAATTATATTAGTCATTCCAGTCCAAAAAATCGTATGCTAACATTAATATTTAAAATTCGAAAATAAAATTTTGTATGTAGTTTTAAAAAAAAAATACAATGAGGATGAAGCACTAGTCAGTAATAAAGCGGCCAGTGTTTTAAAGAAATATTTGCTGTATCTGAAATACAGAGGACGTTGAACTAACATCAGTGTTCCACGGTAGTTCCGTACCTGAAATACAGAGGGCGTTATTAAATTAAGATACAAATATGAACTTAAATGATTTTGTAACAAAGCAATCGTCCATGGATTCCGTGATAAAATTCGTCCTAAACGGCCGTCGATTTTATTTGAATATACATATTCGACTACATATTTTATCAATCTAACAAAGTATGTCTCAAATTTTTTATATAGCATGTAAATATTTCGTATTTAGTGATAAACAGATGATGTACTATGGAATAATCATGTATTAATAGAGGGCGTAAGTGACTATTAAAGTTTTTGTTTATATGTAAATTTTACCTTTCTCAACTGTCTTGCTAATAACGAAACTTTAAGAAAACCACGAAAAATAATAAAGCATCAATAATAAAAGGCTCTTAATGGTAAAGTAATATATATTATAAAGTATGTAATAATTCTTACCAGCAATATTTTATTATTCAACATAACTGAACAGGCCAAGTTGAAGATGTTTAAATAATTATGGTGTCAGAATTTCATTTCATTACATACATACACGATGACAACGTTTTTACGATGATAACTTTTCAGTGTGCTTAGTGCGAGTTTTTTAACGTTCTCGATAGCGTCAAAGTTAGCTAATATTTGTATGGAATGGGATCGTTTGCGTACGTTTGCCGTTAGGGGCGCTGTTCCAACTGCATACAAAATTGGGGAAACTTTTACGCTATCGAGAACGTTAAAAAACTCGCACTAAGCACACAGAAATCCGGCGTAAAATAGTAGACAGTGTGCTTCGTGCGCCCCTAGCGGCAAAAGTAGGCAAAGGATCCAAAGGTACCATTTTTTTTTAATACTTAAGCTGATGGTCTTGAGAGACCATTTTAGCGTAACCTTAGCAAGTAGGTGAGCTCACGGGGCTCAAACCTGACGTCGTTGCTAACACTAACCCTAGCAAGAGCAGTGCTTCGCAGAATCTACCACCGGATCGGAAACGCGACCCACTGAGAAGATTCGGTGAGGAACTCAGTGGGCTGTATCTGTGGGTTAATTTACTCGCCGAGCCTTTCGTCGCAAGCGACGGCTTCGACGAGAACGATGACCGGTGCTTGAGGTACCTAAAAGCAGTGTTAGTGGATCGGGAGGATCCGAGATGACGTGCTTTGGGCGATGCCGACTGTTTACAATTTGGTGCAACTTCGTAAAAATTTGACTTAACTATTACGCGATCAAGAATGATAAAAAACTCGCTCTAAGCACACAGTTGAGTTTGCCGCGCTAATTACCAACAGGAAAAGACCGGTTGACATTTGCTTTTTTTCTGTTTTTTGATATTAGTTTTACATCCATACAGCCTTATTTTTCGGTACTGAGTAAAAAATTTGTGTAAAAATATTAAAAAATTAGGTCACAAGCGTCGTCTCTAAGTCTTCTAACTAAATGGCGGACCGATGACCGTGAATCGAAATTAAATAATCCCTTAAAAATATAAATAAAAACTATCTAGCAAATTAAGAACTGATTCTTTTCAAATATATTTCTTATTTATTAGCTGTAAATTGTGAACGGATCCTAGTATTTTTAAGATCTTGTAATTAGTCGTAAGAATATGTTTACGTCCTTACTAATTTATGAAATTTTTTGCGTATATTTGTTGGACGCAAGATATTTGTCAGTCCGCAGTCCGGAGATGTCATTCGACATTATCTAATTTGTAGTGTAGTTAAAACAATGCTTGACTAAAACTATACAAATAATAATAAAGTAACGGTAAAACATTTTTTACAATTACTACTTGGTAATCGATATCCAGCTGCCAATGGTTTAAAAAAAAAAAGAAATGTTTCGGTTATTTTATAGTCAAATAAAGATACATTAAAAGTCAAGCGCTTCATACCACTAATTTGCAAAGTTGGGTAATTCGCAAAATGTAATAATCTTAACAGTGGACAATATTTATATGTACTAGAATTTGTAATATCTTTGTTTTACTTTATACTGGACTTTCTTTTTGATACTTACTGCTTTAATCAAAGCTGATATATTTTTGAAAAACAAAAACTCACTCAAGAACTCATTTATTATACATTGCCTTTACATCTCAAATAAAAAAAAAATAACTAATATTTTGCATTGCATACTTATGTGGCTCTTCCTTTTTTTTAAGTGTGGCAATTCTATATTTTACACCTTTTAATTAAAGAAAAGATAACATATTAAAAAACTCGAAATTGCCAAATTTAACCTATTTTTGCGAATTACCTCTTGCCATTCGAAGCATTGCAGTCTTGCGAGTAAGAACAAAATAAAATTAAAACAAAATTGTTAAAGTTAGTTTGTTTAATTTAAATAAATTTCTTGGAACCGCTCCCGAAAACAAAGAGTCTAGGTTATATCTGACGGTACCTATATATAGCATGAAACAAAATTGAAACCAGAATAATTATTTTAGATACCTTTTTTTTGTTTTCATGGGTGCAACAATTCTTGAAAATTTACTAATTGCTATCACTTTAATCACTAAACAAAAGAAATATAATTCAAAATTTAGATAAAACTTAGAATACTTTTTCTCCATTTTGTTGGGAAGGTAGTTGTGAATTTTTTTCTTAGGGAAGACCTTGTTGCCTTTTCGATTTCGGGAACGGTTCGCTTACCACCAGTTCAATTTTCTATCAAGAAATATGTTAATCTCTAGCGTCCAATTAAAATGAAACTTCCGCCCAATGATTCAAGGCATGAATTTTTTTCATTACATAATTTAAAGTACCAAATCCGGTCCAAATTATTAAATGAAAAAAAAAAAAAACTATTTAATAAAAGCCAAAGCTTTCTACGAATATCCAATTGTTTTTTTCTAAATATTTTCTTGGAGACATCGTCCGTTAAAACATGGTGCTCTTGTCACAATCTTTAATAAAATATAGTAATGGTTCGCAATTTGGTATTGTACACAAAGAATGTGATTTTTTTCCTGAAAAAAAAAAAAACAGAATCGTTTTATTAATCTGCATTATTTTATTGTATATACTCTTAAGGATTTTTCAGGACATACAAAGATAGTTGATAGGTTTACGGAAGTGGCAAACTAATAAAGCGTAGGTATATTTACAAATTGTGTAGATATCCTGTGGAATATGTCACATGTTACATGTGTGACAAAATCACATTCATTTGTATATTATTATGAATACTAAAATGCGACAATTAATTTATGTATTTTCATATTTTATTCATACGGTTAACGGCGGCACATCTAATATTATATTAAATACACAGTCCATCACATTAGTTTATTGTTTAATTATATTTATATTAATCGTATTTAAGTGATAGTTTTAAGGCTCCATGAAGAAGGTGTCGAGGGGAAATTTATACCAGCGATACCTATATCTAAATTAATAAAACGTTCGTATTTGAACTAATAACTATCTGTGTACTTTTTCTGTACATAAATACATTATCGATATCTCGATATTGATCGTCTTTTCTTGTATTTAACGTAAGGATCACAAGTTTTTTTTTTTTTTTAAATGTTACTCTACTTATTTTCTGATTTGTAATGTTCATGCCTAGTGATATTGTAAATAGATGTTTAATGGTTAATTAATCTAAATGGGAAAGTGATAAAACTGTTTCTTGTCAATAAACGATTTTAACATCGTTCAAATGGAGTTTCATTGCTAACAAAAATGTTGTGTAATAGTAACTAATATCGTTGCAATAATCTGTTGCGATACATGTATTGTACTAAGTATATACAGCGTCAAATCAAATAAAAAGAAATGATTCAACATAAATGAAAGTACATATATGTTGAACGTCAAAAAGAACTACCTACCGCCAATTCACAAAAACTAGCCTCCGTCCTGAGAAGAACTGGCAAGAACTCAGCGGGCATGTCTTTTTTTTTTTGATAATTGGTTATTTTTTAAATATTTGATTTTTTTTAAATATTAATGCGTCCTAATGCGCCTTAGACTCGCCCGATTACGCTTTTCTTTTTCAAGCCGTGGTCCGAACTTCCAAAGAGGTTCCCGCGCCTAGGGATCTTGCGGGGTATGTGGGACTGGTCCGCGACGCAAACCGCGGGCCCAAGAATATTTTTAGGGCTCTACCGCACTAAACGACTCCCCTGTACTTTGACACCCAACGTCCGATCTCCGTCTGGGGTCAGTGTAAGGAGGTTCCCGCGGTCAACACAACAACCAGAAGCCCTCCTATGCTAGAATAACCCCCTAAGTTAGGTACGAAAAAAGGAATGGCTTAGTGTTAGTGATGGAACACAATAATACAGTTAACGTGACTTCTGACAACGACACCCCGACTCACACAGCTGACCTAACTGCCGACGCCTTAGACCTAGAGACTTTTGAACCACTGAGTGTTCATCATCATCATCATCATCAGCCTTTATCTGCCCACTGCTGGACATAGGCCTTCCCCAATGCCTTCCACAGAATGCGCTCCTCCGCCTTCCGCATCCAACGACTTCCCGCCGTGCGCACTAAGTCGTCGGTCCACCTGGTTGGAGGACGCCCCACGCTCCTGGTACCCGAGTGTTGGACGCTACTAATACTAACGTTGGTAGCAACCAAGGCACAGACAACGTATTCGTCGAACTCGCCGAAGCGCTTGATGTGGCAATTAGTCCACACTTAGGCCGCTAAGCTTCTCATTGATTCTCAGCGGATTGTGATTTCAATCCGCGGGTGGATGTACACGCGAAGCATTTGCCTTGGAGCTGCTTGGCATTCCCTCCCTCTCTTCGTGGCTTTCGAGTTTGCTCGCTTCTCTTAGTAACTCGCCAAGGTCTGCGGGTCAAACGCTATCCTTCCAAGGCCAAAAAAGCGTTAAGCTCAAATCAGACTAATACACTAAGACAACAATATTTTATGATTTGAATGTTATTTGAAAATTTCGAAATTATTTAATGAAATGTCTGAGCAGTTAATTACAAAATAAATTAGTAAAAAATTAATTGTTGACAATTTGCATTTTAGTAGTTGAAATACATGTATGAGCACGCCATCTAGCGTAAGTACTATGAACTTGAGCTCCATTAAGTTGGATTATAGTTTTTAGGGAATTAACAAGGTGGCAGTTTTTTTTAGCATGGCTATCGAATTTTAGGGACTAATCAAAGTATCGACATTTATGTATGTACCGACGTTGGTAGCTTAAGGAAAACTTTTAAGAAAGTGGAGAAATAAAATATCTAACTAATGGATATAAATGTCATTAAGGTTTTTAAGCATGTGATTTTGAATGACAAGACTATCTAGGAAATACCGAAAGAGGCACAATATTGCGATTTCTGTTAAATTCAAAATTCATAAAATGTTTTAACCACATTGAAAAAAAAGACAAGAGAATAAACCGTAAAAGTCACTACAACTACCGAAAACCGAATAATTTAGATTGAAAAAATCATATTATATATTAGTGGTTAAATATCTAAATGGAGTTTAAGCGATGTATTGAAATAAAAACCAGTGTTTTCCAAGAATCAGTTTATGCAGATTATAGAGCATCACTATGATACGATGAGTAGTGACTCAATCTTTTTAAATTTTGAACTTTGAAATACAGAAATAGATTTTTTGGCGGGAACGGGAGGAGTGAAGTTGTATGATTTATTTTATTTTGTTTATTTAGTGTTTCTCCAGGGGCAAATGTGTAATAGCGGTGGTTTATTAACTGTTTAGTATCTGTGAAACTGCACAAATGTGGAAAAATGAAACAAAGCCGCTGAACGTAACTTCTCGGGATCATCCAAAAGTCCACTGAAAAAGTCTCAATAAATGACCACCATTTTACTGAGATTATATTTCGTACCATATTACCTTATCTCATTTCAGTTCATTTCACTCAATATTATCATTTTTCATAAAAATAAGAATATAAATTAAAATAAGATATGACCTAAAGGTCCTAGTTACCAGGTCAACCACAAGTTGACTAAAAAATTGTTTGAATTTGATTGATAATTAAACGTGTTTTCTCAGTATTTACACCGTTACTGTAAAATTAAATAAATCAATATTGAACTTGAATATTCTCACATAAGTAGATCGAAAATTTATAACCTTAAAATGGCACAAACAAATATAGACGACACCGTAACAAGATACGAAAATTTCATAAACGAAGTACTAAAAGAAGACCTCAGAGAACTAGAAACGAAATTAGAGTTTTTTAATAATGAAGTTTCAGATTTAATACAACAGAAGCACACATTAAAAGTGTTAACAAACAAAAATATTCATCCCACCGGTTTCAAGACACAAGTTAACGTTGGTTGTAATTTCTTCATGGAGGCGTCAGTGTCCAAAACCGATACGTTGCTTGTGAACATCGGATTGAATCACTACATAGAATTTAAATTATCAGAAGCCAACAGATTTTTGGAGGCGAGAATAAAGTATTATGAAAAAAAATCTCACGAGGTACGTCTCAGGGCAGCACAGGTTTCTGCACACATTAAGTTGATGTTATACGGTATTTCCGAATTACAAAACAGAAACAATAGTGATGGTTCTAGTACTTAAAGCAACTGTGTGAATAATGTGGAGTAAAACTGTTATTATGTTCGGTGTACTATGTTTCATAGAATTTTTATTAAGATAAATGTATTTTAGTTTGTAAAATCAGGAACGATGTATATTCATTTAAGTTTCGTAAATGACTAAATAATAAGTCAGTTATGGTGCAGTGGTTAGCGCCTCTGACTGTGTCGCTGAGGGATGTGGGTTTGTTTCCCACATTGAGCAATTATTCGTGTGATGAACAGGTTTGTTTCCTCTTCGTCTGGGTGTTTATTATCTATATATTTAACTATATGTCAGTCTCTAGTACCCATAACACGGAACCCTAGTTTGGGGCCACATAATTGTATTATTTTTTCTCAGTAATTTATTTTTATTATTTATTTACTGGTGTGTCATAATTGTATTAATCACAGACATTTGGTATTGAGTTTGGAATGAAAAAAATTGTTGTTTATTTGTCCCACTAACAAATAATTAGCATTGATGATTAATTGAGTGTTCATTTGGGATATTTTTATAATTTTGCATTAAATTTGGTGTTGGATTGATGACATTGTCCTCAGTGATTGAGAGTGATGTTAATACCATATTTGCGCTTCATAATACTCCAAAATGGGGATGTCTTTGTGTTAACCTATATTTATATGTGTTCATTTTAGTATTCAAGTTGAATGATAACTGATAGAAAATTATTATTCAAATTTAGGTAACAGTAAGGAGTAAAGAAAGCAGTTGTCTTGCTACATACAATATATTTATAAGATGTTGCAAAATTATTACTGATGTAGTCTGTTGTATTTATTGCATGACTGTCATTTTTAATCGTAAACAGTACATTGTTACTATTTATCTTTTTAAATATGTGAACAGTTCTCAAATAATAATTCTTTACATTTCTATTTGTTTCATAACATTTCATAATTGAAGTTGAATAGATTGGCTGTCTACTTAGGTGCCTTTTTCATTAAAACAAACTATTCTGTATGTAGGATAGCACGGCAGCTACATCATAATAATATAATGTATTGAATTATTCTCTCACTTAGATATTATATTTTTTACAGCTGTTCTAAAGCCTAAAATAAACCTATTTACAGTGCAGTATAACTTCAGCAAATCAATATTAGATCAATATTAAGACTAATGTAGTGTTTTTGATTGCATAAAGCACCCTAATCTCTTAGCAAGGTTAGAAATCGCCAGAATCAATCTAAATTATAATATTATATCACTACATCTGACACAAATTTTAAATTAAAATTTAACAAGGAACCCATAGTAGAAGTTCTGCCCATCTCTATTTAGCACACAAGCTTTTGAAATTCTATTATTCTACCTATACTTTAGTAAAACTACTATTTCCTAATAAAGTATCCAATTATTAATCTATTCTAGTCTACTATCCTTGTGAAGTATGTATCAAATGTATTAATTCATTTTCTAATAGGAAACCAACAGTGTCACATTAGTTATTTATTCTAGCAGTTATTCAGTTATGTAATTCATATTCTGTCAAACCACTTGTTTAATGTTTTTAATGAAATTATATTATGGGGATCTGTTGATGTGATAATAATTTAATTATGTATTTGTATATACATTGTATATAAATTAATTTTAAGTGTAGACTGAAATAAGAAAGTCATAAGCTAAGATGATGTGTAGACTCATTCCTAAATTATAAAAATAACCAGTACTGACTTTGTGGTAGCAATTTTTCAAATGTAAATAATGTAGTTTTAAAATTGATCAAACTTATTAGTTTTTGTGTAAGCTTATAAATCAAGTTGCCATTTCTAGGTCAAAACTATTATATAAATATCTAAGAAAAGTTTGGATTATCAAAGAATTTGTGAAATTTAGTAAACTCTTAGTACATAGTACCAGTGAGCATTAAAAACTCGCACACGTCATTAAAATTGTTATTAGATTATTTTCCCATGTATCAAAATGGGTGGTAGATTTCGCATTGTTCTGTCTGGATTCCAGAAACCGCTTTTACATCAGGTCGGTGAGTTGTTCATCTATGAAAATAAAAACTTGTCTTGTATCCATAATGGACTGTTAATTAGCTACTTACAGTGGTTATGATTTGTTAGGATTTTTTTCCTTAGATATTCGCTGGTACCCTAAGAAGCTATTCCAGTTATGCCCGGACGGGTAGGTGAGCTCACGGGCTCAACCTGAGAGAATTTGGGCGACGGTAACCACTCACCTACCCGTGCTTATCTACGGAGCTGAAACGTGGACACTGACTGTGCGACTAGTCCACCAACTAAAAGTTCCTCAGCGAGCTATGGAGCGAGCTATGCTCGGTTTGTCTTTGCGATACCGAATACGCAATGAGGTCATTCGGCCAAAAACCAAAGTGATCGATATAGCTCGCAGAGTTAGTAAGCTGAAGTGGCAGTGGGCTGGTCACATATGTCGCAGAACCGATAACCGTTGGGGTAGACGTGTTCTGGAGTGGAGACCGCGAACCGGCAAACGTAGTGTAGGACGCCCTCCTGCTAGATAGAGCGACGACCTGCGCGAGGCAGCTGGCAGTAATTGGATGCGTGGAACCGAAGATCGGGTTCAGTGGTGAGCTTTGGGGGAGGCCTATGTCCAGCAGTGGACTGCCGCAGGCTGATGATGAACCACTCACCATCAGGTGGGCCGTGTGCTCGTCTGCCTACAAGGCACAAGGGCAATAAAAAAAAAGTAGGCAGCGGCTTGACTCTGCCCCTGGCATTGCTGAAGTCCATGGGCGACGGTAACCACTCACCATCAGGTGGGCCGTGTGCTCGTCTGCTTACAAGGACAATAAAAAAAACTAGCCCTAGTAAGAGCACTGTTTCGCAGAATCTACCACCGGGTCGAATTCGCGACCCACAGAAGATCGACGAGAAACTCAGTGGGCGGTGGCTGTGGGTTAGTTCACTACGGACCTGGCTTGAGTTCGGTGACTGATGATTGAGAGGCCTAAAAGCACCGAGGGTGATTCCGGGGATTCGACAAGACATGTATCGAGCGACGACGGCTTTGCCCTGCTCTATCGCGTTTGGATAAGGTTGTTAGATGATGTGATAAGAAATACAACTAAGGAAATATTGACGTAATAAATGATTCGAAGGTCTTTTTGTTTTTTTATCATTTCAGAATTAAGTAGCCCATATTAAACTGCGAATTACAGGTAATGATTCCTATTTATAGGAACATTTTTATTGTCTTTTGTTGAGGTATTGGGTGTATATGTATCATTAAAAATTGCGGCTTCCACAACAGACGATGGTCTTTTGAACGCGGTTTGTGTTTTTACTTTTTAGTACCTACCTACCTACCTAACATTTGTCATTTTAAAGAGTGTATGTACTTATCTGTCATTTATCTTAAAATACCTATATTATCAATGTTAATTTATTCTTATTTATTAAAGATTAGCGTAAGTAACAAAGCATTTTTTTCAAAAATGGATTTTCTGCCAACAAACCGTCATGACAGGGAAGTTTTGGTGTTCATCTTTAATTTGAAAAAAATGTGCCGCTGAAGCAAACCGATTTCTCAGCCAATCCTTCTAATGACAATGTGTTCCATTTTTTTCGAAATGCGAGTACTAGTTTATGCGGCTTAAGGATTGGTAATTTTGACGCGGAAGACAAAGTTGGCCTGAGCATCCAAAAACAGACCAAGAATTTGAGGCATTACCACATAATAATTGTTGTCAAAGTCAAAAAGAGCTTGCAAAACATTGAGAGCTATTCAAGCAGCAATCCCAAAATGTTTGCGATCAGCAGGATTTATCCAAAGGCTGAAAAATCGGTACCATATAATTTTTTTATCAGTCATTTAATTTATAATATGCTTATTGGGAATGTTACGGTTGTGCGGTTGTAATTTTTTAAGGATATGCGTATAGGAACGTACGGGTGAATAAAGTTCTGTATACTATTCGTTCCTATCATAAAATTAAACTTGAATTTAATGTAAAGAGCTCCAGTGTGCATGAAGTGAAAAATTAAGTGGTAATCACATTAAATATTCTATTTTTGTGATTCTTAAGGGTTTGTAGTCAACTTGAAAGTCGCTTCGATAAGCGTTTGATGAGAAAATTGGGGTTAATTTGCATAGGCAGGTAAGTTAAAGAGCTAGGGCTCGGTAATTAATGTAATTATTCTGTAGGAGAACAAGAGCACTTGAATAAAATATTGTCATCATTAAGGGTTGAATTGATTAGTTAAGAGATTTCGAAGACCTTATTACTTAATTGATCACAAAATTAAACAATTTTATAACGATCGAATTAATAAGTACTTATTCAATTTCGTATACGAAGCATTAACTGGATAAATATTGATAAAAGCTATCTAACTAAATAATAACTTTTTTTACTACATAGTTTATATTTAAACAATAAGAACAAAATGAAAGGAAATGATTAATTAGCATTTTCAAAGAGTATATTGCCATCTAGCAGTATATTTTAGAACTATTTCAAAAAATATTTTTTCAGTTTATATAGTTTATCCATATTATAATAGATGGCGCTGTAAACAAATATTACGATAAATTCATAGATCAAAAGTCAGTCCATTGGAACGGTTGTTTTTCCCTACGTAATCGTTGGCAGCATATGGGGCTATTCCAACTACGCGCGAACTGGTAGGTGAGCTGACGAACTCAGTTTAAGAGAACTTGCTGACACTAGCCCTAGCAAGAGTAGTTAGTGCTTTTACCACCGGATTCGAATCGCGAACCTGTGAGAAGGTCCGGGGAGAAACTCAGTGGGTTATGTCTATGGACTAGGCTGCATCGAACACTTGAACGGTGACCGATGCTTGGATCCGATAAGACATGTTTAGGACGACGGCGACTTCGCCTTGCCCTATAGTCTGCATAACTAAAGAATAAATTGTTTTAGAATGTGATTCGTGTTAGTTTTTACATTTTTCATATAAAAGGTACGCTTAAAGGCATTAGATATAAATAAAAGGCAAGGTTTCAAATAAAAGCTTAGCTTTATTACTTGTTATATTCACGAAGAAACATTCCTGACTGACATCAACAAGTTTCCACGCTGACAATGCTAGTAGAGATACAATCATGTTTCCGTGTTCCTATTTTAAATTTTGAAATGTCGAACGAGTTTTTTTTGAATGCCAATTAATTTTTTTTTTCTTCCAACAAACCAACGCGATTTGCCACNAGGTTTCAAATAAAAGCTTAGCTTTATTACTTGTTATATTCACGAAGAAACATTCCTGACTGACATCAACAAGTTTCCACGCTGACAATGCTAGTAGAGATACAATCATGTTTCCGTGTTCCTATTTTAAATTTTGAAATGTCGAACGAGTTTTTTTTGAATGCCAATTAATTTTTTTTTTCTTCCAACAAACCAACGCGATTTGCCACAGCCGCGAGTCTCACAACCCCGGCCGCCATTTTAATCGAAACAGTTATATTATTATTTTTATAATTTACATCTTTTATTTCTCACAATAACATTTTTATGTCTAATACACCGAACAGTGGTTTTAGATCCTAAAACATTCAAAGACAAAGACACACGCTCGTAAATTATAAGCATTATGACAATGTGATATTTATATTTAATGAATAAGTATTGTTTTTATATAAGAACTTTTATAATTAATGCGTAGTTAGGTTAGGTTTCGCGGTATAGGTAAAGTCTGTCTGAGGCTCCACAGATTACAATAGCCATACCAGCCACGCGTTAGACAAATACCGAGGAATTGTTTTATTTTCACAAATCGCCCTTAAAACGGTTATTTTTTTTTAATTTACTTATTTTTACACCCAGAACCATATAAACATCTTTGAGTTAATATAATTTTATCTATATAAAGGAAGGCCGCGCCGCCGATCTGTCTCGCTCTTAAAACTTTTATTTACAAACTGTTTAATGCTCCTAAAAGTTTCATTATCCGACGCCTAAATATTCTTAAAATTATATTACGAAAAAACGCATGATACAAATCGCTAATTTATCTAATTTCCCATTCTTGTCATCGCTATAATAGAGCTGATGATCGTATGAAATTTTCGATAATTTACCTACATCAATCATCGATCGATCACTTTAGAAATATTCAATATAAAAATACTCTTATCATTATTTTTTCTTTTTTTTTTCTTCGTCATCATCATCATCGTCATCATCGAATAAAATTTTTACACGCGTCATCGACATCGCCGGCGAAGACAGACGGCGGAGCGGGCCCCCGACAAAAAGAAAAGCTTTGAGCCTCATTAATACCTTAACATCGTGAAATTTGTACTAAATATATCCAGGCGAGCAGACGCAGCGCGAAACTTATCACTTAGCCGAAATGCGAGGATGCCGAAACCGCTTCTAAACACTAAAGGTTTGGGTTCACACGCCATTGTCATGCACGTTTTTTGTCCTGTATCCGTTATTTTAACGTACAATCACCCGAGTGTTCATACGGTAGATTTTCATTCGTTTAAAAACGAACGTGTGAAAGAGACAAAGCTATACACTGCAACGTTAAAGTTCATACGATTTGTATGTCCGTTGAGTATTCGTTTAAACGCATAAGGGTAGTACGATTTTTTGCAGTACAAACGACATGTTGAACGGAATCTTATACCTTTAAACGAGCAATTCTTCTATATTAATATACATATATGTATATAATCTGAATCTCGGAAACGGCTCCAACGATTTTCATAAAATTTAGTATACAGGGGATTTCGGGGGCGATAAATCGATCTAGCTACGATTTATTTTCAGAAAATGTTGTTTTATTCGTGTTTTCAATAATCAACTCTTCCCGACATCTATTGGCGAATAGTAATACTATTTTTCTTAATTGAGGGGAACTAACCGCTTTAAAGACACAACAAGATGGCGTTATAAAGCCCGGTCATCATCTAGTGGTTCTCTATGTATGTG